ATTTCATTAAAGGTGTAAAACAGCTGCTCCAATACCTAATAGAAAATAAGTTGAAAGAAATTTATCCAAATATTTATATTGTCATTCAAATTTTGTTAACAATACTATTAAGTACGACTTCTGGTAAAAGGAGCTTTTCAAAATTAAAACTAATAAAAAATTAAGAAGTACAATGGGCCAGCAAAGACTTTTAGCATTGTCAATTTTATCTATTGAATCAGATATAGCATCTAATCGGGATTATGGTACAGGAGTTCAGTAAAGCTAAAAGCAGGAAATGTATGTTCCTGTAATTCTTTACTGCTAGTAATAATTACTTAATAATATTAGTTATAAAGTCTAAGAGATGTTAGCGTCTTCTTGCGCCAGCAGAGGTCCTCGCAAAAATGTATCTTGCCCACATAAACTTTATGTCTTGCCCCGCCACTGCTCCAAGGTGATTCTATAAGTGTTCTTTTTGCGAAATTGGAGACTGAACACTATAAAATGAAATAAAAGGAACCATGAGTTCACTCATGCACGGCGGTCTACATTGTCAAAACCTGATATGTACCTATAACCAAAAAAATGCGGAAATATCCATCGCGCATCGGTGAAAGAGTGTCAAGCGAACAACCGATTAAGATTTTATGGCCTTTTCCAAGTAACAATTTTGTCTGTTATTTGATTTTGATATATTTACATTCCACGACCATGTGTGTGTTGGTTAGCAATAAAGGCATTAAACATTTTGTTAAAGTAAGCAATGCCATCAATTCATTCTTCAGTATCAGTGAGGTACTTTATAAATTCGTAGAATCCGGCTATAAGGCAATAAAAAAGGTAATATAGTAGCGTTGATGGATAAAGCGAAATGAAAGGAAATTTATATTTTTTCATCTTTCAATATTTTTATATTTTCACGAAAATAAAATAATTATTTACATGCGTTTTTAGCGTTAAATCAAAACAAAAGTCGCATTTTTTTTTTCAATTCATAAAGTTTTTTTTTTAGATTCACGGACAGTTTAGTAGTTGTGTTTTTTGTAGTTTACATAAACGATGAACAACTCCTACACAGGGCCGCCGAGAGCCAGGCCGGGCCCCAGGACAATTCTCTAGATCGGGCCCCGTGACAAAAAAAAAGCTCTTCAAACTTTTCCTCTTCTACTTGAATTGAATTTTCTAAAAAAAAAGATCGTCAAGTAAAAACTTTTCCTCCTCTGCTTGAATTGATTTTTCTAAAAAAAAACTAAAACTTCCCCCTATCGTCTTGTGTCGAATTTCTCATACAAAACAAAAAAATGGGCCCCTTATACCGCTGCCGGGCCCCCATTTCAGTCCGGGCCCCGGGAATTAGTCCCGGCTACCCCCCCCTCTAGTCGGCCCTGCTCCTACATATAGAAGTAATAATAATAATGTTTTACCTAAATTAGTACATTTTTATAATCAGTATGTAATGCCAGAGATTGTGTACAGGAATATCCCAAAACGACTGTAAGCCAAAGACGCTATTTAAAAAAAAAAAAATCAAAATTTGCTATTTTTCTTTGGATATAATTTAATTCCTCTACTGTATAATAAAATTTATTGTCCCCCTTTCATGGAGATATAATCTTATAACTTTATACACTCACCGACTTAAAATTCGATCCATTCAAAATAATGATTTATTTAAAAATGCTCTAACTTTCAACTGCGGAGTCTGATTTATTTGAAGTTTTTAGCAACTTTTAGATAAAATACTGTAGTTTTAAGATTATTATTCGGACATCTAAAAGTAATTTAGTACTTGCCGAATATACAGGGGGGAAAAGAAAACAATTTTTTCCTCTACTTTTGACACACCTTGTAGGTTAATTCTGCTAATAGATCTGCACACAATTAACTTTGTCAAGAAGACTGATTTATTTCCAACATTTTGTTTTTTTATTTACCCCGATATCTTAATTTGTTTGTGAAATGTGGAGGTTTAAAGAAAATGCCACATTCTTAATTTTTTTATTGTTTTAGCAGAGTAATACATAATTTTATAAACAAATCAAACAACAAATAAACTAATAATTAATACAAATTAATAACGGGTATTTTCCCCACGAGCGCGAATAACTGCCTCAATGCGTCATGGCATACCCTCTATTAGATGTCGAATCTCCATCTGGTCAATCTGATCCCATTCTTGGACCAAAGCATCTCTCAAAAAAATTAAATTACTTGGAGAAGGAACTCGGTTATGAACTCGTCTGCCCATCATGTCCCAGACGTGCTCAATTGGATTGAGGTCTGGGCTACGTGATGGCCAGTTCATCCTTTGAATTTCTGTTTCGTCCAAATATTGAGATACAATCCTCGCAATATGTGGTCGAGCGTTGTCATGCATAAACATGAATTCGTTTCCTATAAACGTTGCAAATGGAATTACATGTGGATCTAGCACATCACAAATATATCGGTTAGCTGTCATTGCTCCGCCGCCAACAATGACTAAATCAGTATGAGCTTCCACGCTTATGCCGCCCCAAATCATTACCGATCCTCCTCCATAACTGAGTCTTGTGGAAAAATTTGCTTGGTCAAATCTTTCGCCTCTTCTTCGGTATATTCTTTCACGGCCATCAGGAGAACGTAAACAAAACCTTGACTCGTCAAAAAATAAAATCTTACTCCAGTCATCGACATTCCAATGTTGATGCTCCCTGGCAAATCGATGACGTGCTGTTCTGTTATTCCTAAGCAACTCCGGACCAGTTGCAGGTCTTCTGGAGCGTAATTTATGTTCTCGTAATCGCCTTCGAATCGTTATTTCGTTAACAGCTACTTGACGTACTTCTTCTAAACAATTTCGAGCCATGACAGCAGTAGTATTTCTTTCTCGCAAAACATTTAATGTTACAAAACGATCATCTCGAACATTTGTAGAACGTCGTCTGCTAGATCCTCTTCGTCTCGAAAAACTATCAGTTTCATTGAAACGTTATACAGCTCTCTAGGCGCTACACCTTGTAACACCCAATATTCTAGAAGCATAATACTGAGACCTACCGTCTTGTACCAGAGCAACTGCTCATGCTGCATCAGTAGGCGTTAAAACAATGATGTTATGCTGATAATGAATATTTGTTATGCTGATAATTAAACTGCAATTGCCAAGTAACGAATATTTAACAGTTGTCATATTGTGAGTTGACCACAGCACTCTACTTATTTTGTAGTTTATTTTCTACCGTCATTTAAATTATGACCGTTTCTAAAATGTAGCATTTTCTTTAAACCGTCACATTTCACAAACAAATTAAGATATCGGGGACAATAAAAAAACAAAGTGTTGGAAACAAATCAGTCTTCTTGATAAAGTTAATTGTGTGCAGATCTATTAGCAGAATTAACCTACAGGGTGTGTCAAAAGTAGAGGAAAAAATTGTTTTCTCTTCTCCCCTGTATATGCGGCGAGTACTAAATTACTTTTAGATGTCCGAATAATAATCTTAAAACTACAGTATTTTATCTAAAAGTTGCTGAAAACTTCAAATAAAACAGCCTCCGCATTTGAAAGTTAGAGCATTTTTAAATAAATCATTATTTTGAATGGATCGAATTTTAAGTCGGTGAGTGTACATCAAGGTCATTTACCTTTATAATAACAGAGGATGGGATATTTCTGGACTTCGTCGAATTTCCTTATTACAAAAAAAGACGTATTGTAATAAAGAAGTTTTTTCTTTCTTCAACCACTGGGGTCACCAATGTAATTAAAGGTACTTCACGTCTTTTGATATTTAAATAAGCGGAATACGAAAGAACGATAATCCGTCTTGATTTCAATCAATGGTTCCCGTACAAAATAGCCCCAACTCAGTGGCGTAGTTGTAGTTATATTTTTATCAATTTCTTCATCAGCGCCTGATTTATTATAGTCTCACTGATGTTAGAATAAATGTTTATGTAGGAGTAGGGGAAAGCCGAGCAAAGTGAAATTTTGGTTTAATTTTATTTTTAATTGGCAGATGTAAAATTAACTTAACTTGAATTTTCATTTTTTATCTGGTATTTTTAATCTCCCTGTATATATCAAAGGTTTTTTAGCACCATTTTAATAAGCACAAAACTGAGCAAATTTTGTCTAATGTAACCAACTTTCTATCTGTTACCATTTAATTAAGAAATAGCAATACTGTTCCTATGAAATATGGGCCAATCAAGTTGTACATATGTGATTGCAAAAGGTCTGGTCGATCTGAATTTTTTATATGTTGTTAGGACCTAAACCAATATTAAAAAACCAGATTTGTAATCTGAAAAGTGCTGTTCAAGCGGCGGTGTATCCAAAAGATCATAAAATTTTCGGACTTTTTTTAGTTTTTGCTCAATATCTCAGTGAAGGAAGGGTTTTACCGGTATAGTCACTCTACATACTTTTAAAGAAGACTAAATTTGCTACAATTTGAGACTAAAGTTCTATATAGCAATTGGTTCCCAAGGTACAGTTCTTCGAAAATATGCCATTTTTTTATTTTGTGAAATATCTTCTAAAATACGTATCCAAAGTCAAATATTATACGAAATGAAGTTGTAGTAAATTTAATTCGCTTTCATTTGAGACCAAACTGGAACCTGTAGGCCCAGCAGTTTCCTTAAAACCGACAGATAATCATAAAACATAATTCACAAGTGGGTTTTGGGGGGAAATGCAAATAAACTGTCCTTACGTCTTTTTATGGTTATATTTATCAGTTACAATTTGTTTATTTTTGATATTGTTCAAAAATTGTTTAATGAAAAAAGAGAAAGATAATATACCTATTTTGAATTACGTCATCATCAAACATTGTTTTATGTACCTACATACTACAATGTTTGTACAAACATCATGGTACATACTATAAGGACAAATTATATTTACACAAAAAACAAAACTAATATAAATCATGTAGGTATTGTTTCGGTTGCCAAATCATGCCTTTCTTTTCATCTTAGATGGCCCAGGCTTGGGCTCGCACGTAGATGGACGCTGGAAGAGGCGCTCAGTCTGTAGTCGGGTCATCTTCATCGTCCCAGCATTGTAGCTCCACATCCGGGACGTTAATGTACAATTTGCCACCGCATGACTGGCAAAGGACTAAGCAGTGGGCAGGAGGTGCCTGATCCATGGTGGTGGGGATGGGGGTCAGTCCCTGAGAAGACTGCTTCCATCCCCAATCAGTGGGATTCAAGTTGACTCCCTGCCACTTTTGCACTTGGAGGTAGCACCTTGCTGCATGGTGGCCTGTGACATCTTTCGTCGCTGGCAAACAGACAAAGTTTATGCTCGTTGAAGTAACAAACGTCTTATACCTCAGGAAATCCAAAGTATCCCTTGCAGTATCACCCCCCATATAAAGTCACAAAGCACTTGATGTCTGTTTCTCTCACGGCTTGTGGGATGGAGTCTGGCCGAAGGAAAACCTCCACTTGCTCAGCGAGTGGTTCACTCTTGTTTAGGATTGTAGTGATTTTGGTCTTTACTTGGCTGAACGGTGTTGAGGTGGTATCGCACCCGGTAAGCGCGTGGGTGAATATTACGGTCCCTGGTGACCGATGGGAGTCCTGGTGGTTGTAGGAGGTCGTAGAGTAGATACAGCAACCAGCTTCGCCCTTCGTGTTCTTCTGAAGGTAAACGTTTGTCTCTTCAGCGTCTAAACCATTGAGAAGAAGGAGCAGGTCGACGTCTTCTTGCACTTTGACGGCCCGATCGGCTACTGCTCTTTTTAAAAGCGCCGTCATGACGATCTCTCGATCCGCATCTTCTTCGGTAACAGCCACTTCTATTACCTTCTTCTGACAGGCGTCACAAAGAAGAGTTATTTTAACTGATAAATAAAACTTATGACTTATGTTTCATGGTTATCTGCGGTTTTTGAGAGAACCGCTGGACCTACAGGTACCAGTCTGGTCTCAAATGAAAGCGAATTAAATTTACTACAACTTTATTTTATATAATATTTAGAAGATATTTCACAGAATAAGTGACCATTTTGAAAAAAAAATCACTTTTTGGAAGAACTGTATCTTGGGAACCAATGGCTGTATAAAGCTCGCCCTAGTCTCAAATTGTAGCACATTTAGTCTTCTTTAAAAGTATATAGGGTGACTATACCGGTCAGACCCTTTCTTCACTGAGATATTGAGCAAAAACCGAAAAAAGTCCGAAAATTTCTTGTTTTTTTTTTTGATACATCGCCGCCGCACAGCACTGTTGAAATTGCAAATCTGATTTTTTAATATTGGTTTAGGTCCTAACAACATATAAAAATTCATAACAACAGGACCTTTCATGTTTAACTTTACTGGACTAATAGTAGAGACACTGTATTTTCACAGTTTTATCGATACAATTAAACGTTTATGCTCATAGTTCATTATGAAGTCTTTTTGTCTTTATTTTGTTGTTATTGTAATTTCTTATCTCCTAACTATTTGTGAGGTCTAAAAATTTGTCTATTACAAACGCAACCTTTCAGTATTTTTTTTTCGTTTTTCTCTTCTGTTTGTTATTTTTTTATTGTGCAATATATTTTTTCTTTGTTAATCCTTGTCCAGTAAATGGGGTCAGCCTAGTGGACATTGTATGCTAAATAAATAAATGAAGGTATCCTACATGGAACAGGAAGCTAATATCCGTATACTTATTGAGACTTGAGATTCAATAAAACAAAATTCCATTATAACATAATATATTACGCCACTGCTTAAGTACAAAATAAAGTTACTCACAAAGGATTTTTTTTGTGGAATTTTTTAAAAAGGATGACACCGTTGAGATGTTTATTTTAGGGCTCAGAGGTTATGCTCTTCTTTCGAACGAAAGATCTTATCAAATTTCTTCTTTTATGTTCGATGGATATAAATTCATTATTCATATACAAACCTTATACAATAGTGTTATACTCTTGAGTTCTCAGAATGAATACAAATTTTAGAGAATGTATTTAAGTGACCAAGTGGGTAAACTTTTTTAAAATATTTCTTATGGGATTATGGTGACTGCCAAGAGATATTTTCTTTTAAAAGTTGATGTCCGATCCTTAGATAATATGTGACTAGTTAAAGATAACAAATTTTGTTGATTGGCTGGAAAATCTCAAAAAGAAAAAAATCGTGCAATTAGTTATAAATAATTTATTTTCTAAATATTTTTGTACATTGAATAGTTTCGCTTGTATCTGTAAATGTAACGTATGAAGGGTGAGTAATAGTACGAGTTTTCAAACGAACGTTTCTTGAAATGGTGTGATCAGAAAAATGTCAGTGGCAAGGAGGCCACACGGAAAAAAATGTGATTAGAAAATTTTACTACAATGTTGTAGTAGTAGACTTGTAGAAAAATACTTAACAATTTGTAGAAAATTTTACTACAATTTATAGTTAAAAACTATTAATTATTGTAGCAATTGAATTGTCGAATAAAATGCTACAACAATAGGAAAGAAGTCCACAATGTTTAGTATATTTTACTATTGTTTGTAGAAGTAGAAATTTATTACAATTATCGTAATTACTACTTCTGTAAAAATTTGTACAAATATTAATAATTATCTCTACAAAAAATAGTAATTTTCTCTACAAAAAATAGTAATACTTTACATCCCTTCTTCAAAAATATTCTATAATATTGTAGAAATTCTAAGTCATGTGAACAAAACAGAATTCTGCTATTGGTCAACGTTTTCTGACGTCGATCATAAACGGCCAGACAGCAGTAGCCGTTCGCCATGTTCACATAACAAAGCATGGTACATATACGATTACACATTATTATATTATAAGCACCGATGCGTTTGAGAAAATTTTAATAATAAATTCTATTGGTGGTAAGTACATTTATTATTGTTTCTGAATAATTTACCTTTAGATAACTAATTTAAATAACCTTAGTAGATTATTTTAAAAAAAATAGTTGTGGACAACGATTGAATGTTGTGCCCAACGATCGAATTTTGTGCCAAGTTCAATGATGTTTTTTGTCTTAATTGTGACATACCTACTTTCTCATTTTTGTTAGTTATCTGACTTAGTCATTTAATATCCAAATCAGTGTAAAGGTGATAAATATCACCGTTTTAAGGGTATGAACAATTCAATTGGTATTAATTTTTATTTCATATTTTTCAGGTGCAGAAAAGCCAACTGAGACTGAGGGCGCTATTATTACTGTTATTTATTACATAATGTAATTAAGAATTTGTATCTTTTATATTAAAACAATAAATTGAATATTTTATTAAGGAACATTTTTTTCTAGGTTATAATTATAATAATTATGGAATACTACTACAAATTTTATTAAAAATTACTACAATTTGTATGAATTTTTACTATTTATTGTGCAAAATTTTCGTATTTATTTTCATAAAACGCAATACATTTTTAATATAAATTCATACAATGAATAGCAAAAATTATAACAATTTGTAGAACAATTCTTATGATGCATTTGGATCTTTTTACTAAATATTGTAGATAATAACTCTACAATACATTCTCCACAAATATTTGGAAATTTTTACTACAAATTGTCCCTGTCCCTATATGTACTACAAATCTACAATTGTAGAAATTTGTTCTACAATTTTTTTTCCGTGCAGTGAAAAAGTGCTTCTTGCATACTTTGAAGAAAAGTACAAAATATGGAAATCGTCAACGCTTTGGTCGAATTACTCTATGTTAAAGTCGATAATGAACATAAATAATCATGACATAAGCAGATATTACAAGCTTGTGGCTTTTTTGAAGCGAAAGGGTGAAGGATATCGACCGAAAAAGTCAAAAGTATTGACAAGGGAACAAATCGACAAATTTCTCGCAGAAGCCCGGGATGAAATATATCTAATGCAGAAAGTTTCTGCGATTTTTGGTGTTTTTGGAGCCTGTCGTCGAGAGGAACTGTGCGATTTGACATTTAATAATATCGAGGATTCCGGAACTTCACTAGTTATGCATATACCAGACCCAGAAACTAATGTACAACGCACCTTTGTTATAAGTGGTACTTTGTATATGAACTACTATAAAAAGTATATAGCCCTTCGTTCAGTGGATATTAATCATTCAAGAGTTTTTAAAATGCATTAAAAATAAATGTGCTAGGACTCCAGTTGGAATCAACACATTTGGTAAGATGCCTGCCAAAATTGCTGAATTTCTAAATTTGTCTGATTCCGATCTTTATACTGGACATTGTTTCCGACGTTCCTCAGTTAGTTTGTTGGCGAACCTCTGGTGCTAGTCTTACTACAATTAAAAGACACGGTGGATGGAAGTCCAGTACAGTAGCAGAAGGTTATATAGAAGACTAGCTACAAAGGAAACAGAACATTGCAGATCAAATTTTGTCCAAAACTTTGGCGGATAACATTGATCTCTGCCCTGGTACAAGCTTCACCAAAATAAATTCTGTTACATCTACCAATGAGACTGGCCATGGAGTTTCTTATATAATTTTAGTTTCACTAATTGTAAGTTTAATTGAATAAACACTTCATTTTAAATTATGTTTTTATATTTTCTCAAAAAAAAAAAATTACTTTTAGCACTAGTTCTAAAAGTGATTTACTTTTAACACCAGTGTCATAAAATGGCATTTTAGACACTGACAGCATGCGTTAAAAATTATACTTTTTGTAGAAAAATAATATTTTTCTACACCCACATGGATATTAGATTATTTACGCTCAGACTACATAACGAAAAAGTATGCCATTGCGTTCAACTGAATGAATATATTTCATATCCATTCTACCTAGTAAGAACACTACAAAAAAGCAATCCACCAATCACAGTTCATATTTTGGTCATCCGGCTATTATTTTTTAAATTTTAAATATGTGACAATTCTGTCAAACTAATTGTGGGTATATTTTTTAATTATTGAAATTAAATATACATTAGAATGAGTTATTCTCGTGTATAATTGATAAATAATAGCATTTTTATTTGTATTTCGTCTAAATTTATAAATAAACCATAAACTTAAATAAAACTATATGAAATCAATTTAATTACGAGTATTGAAACTAAATTGCAAAATGTGTGGCAATAGAGCAAAGACTAGGGTACCTGGCTTTCATGCGAGAGGCCCGTGTTCAAATCTGGGCTGGGGAATAATTAAGTTAAATCTTATTTTCATATTTATTTTATTTTATAAATTATTGAAATTCATAAATTATTTTAAAATTAGTTATTTTTACCCAAAAACTAAAATAATTTTTTAAATTTGTAGATTTTCGTTAGTGGGTCGTATAAAAGATATACTGTACAACTCGAGTGGATTGTCAATATCCACTCTTGTTGCACAAACTACTATTATTATAATATTTTTTAATTTTTTATTAGCTGTAAAACTTGCTCTGATGGTATTGTATAAGATAAAATTAACCAATGCATGTTATATAAAACAATTTCGTAATTAATTCGGGAGTGTCTGGTGCACCTCAAGCAAATAATAGCACCAAATTTTCAAAGCTTATCTCAAAAATACATGTTATACAGGGTGTTCGATAAGTACGGTACATAACTTCAAGAGCTTATTCTGGAGCTAAAATAAAGGTATTTTTGTCACATACACTATGTCTCAAAAATGCTTCGTTACGGAAATACAGGGTGTGAAAGTTTCATAAAAAAAATACAATTTTTTAAATATTTCCAGAACCACTTAAGATATTTTAATCAAACTAATCGCTGAAAAATATGGAAGGAAAAACGTGTTACGCCACTGTTCTGTTTTTAATGTTCCATTTTTTTATGAAACTTTCACACCCTGTATTTCCGTAACAAAGCATTTTTGAGACATAGTGTATGCAACAAAAACTCC